CCCCGCCATGTTTCATTTGTTCGGAATCATCTCTCTCTTGCTAGAGAGTTGTGGGTTCTTCACTGATCCTTGCAATAAGAACCACAAGGGTGACCAGTCACAGACATGGCTGTTACCAAATTCATAGGCAATACTTGTATAGATGAGAAAATTTTCTTCCTTTTGCTGTTTTCTTTTCAACTGTGCCTGCAACTGAGAAGGTAATACACTGAGGTATGCACACATCTACATGCTGTCTGTGAATAAGACGACTTTAATGACATCTGGGGCTCAATGAAGCAAGGACTTACGCTTGGAATGTTTGTCACAGAGGGCTGATGCCCTCATGTCGCAGAGTCTCAGGGATCCTTTGCTGCTGCTGTAGACAAAGAGATTGCAGTGATGGGGATGAAACTCAGAGGCTGTAATCACTTCTGTCAGGTCCTCCATATTGGCCGGCTTTATATCTACAATGTCTGAATGGAAGTTTCATTAAGGAAAATGCGGTTGTTTGCAGGTAAACCATGACTTTTGCTGCCTTCTTGAAGGAAGCATGTAAATGACAATACAATAATGCTTTTAGATATACTCATCTGTTTGGCCGTAGGGTGTTTTTAAAATTTCCATATCTACCCCATGTACACCAAACTCAAAGAGCTACTATTCAGCAACAGTTTTACAGCAAATGCCATTAGTGGGTCAACATTTGCCCATGCTGTGCAAAGACATCAAAGAAACAGTATTCCAGTGGATACAGAATTCTCATCTTCATTAAAACTAATAGAGAGCAGGTAGCTATATCTCCTGCAGTTGCTATTGAAATCACTGCTCTATCCCAGATAATACCGATTGATAGGGAACAATGTACAGCTCAGATCTACTCACTCCAGTAACAGCTCACTGGCTTTTATGATCATGAAACAAGCTAAAAAATAACATAACTTAAGTTAAAATCCTCAAACAATAAATGTACTTTTTTGCAAAGGCAAATGTGGCAAACACAGAAGCATTTATGCAAATAGTTTTATGTGAATATATACTAATATAATTTCCTTTCTTAAAAAAATCGTGCACAGTATTGGTTTTGCTATTTGAATACTTGTGGAAAAAGTATCTGAAAGGCATTCTTGGGTTTTCATGTGAACGATGCTCACTACTGAAATCAATATGAATTTCTGTGACTGAGAATTGTACATCTGAATCATTTAAGTGAACATATCTGGAAGAAAAGTACATCCTAAGCACAAACCTGTCAGCTGGATCACCAAAGATCATCCACATGACGTATAGCTCAAGTAGCGCCCCTCCAGAACTTATATATCCACTCATATATATTACCTGCCTTGGTGAGCTTAAAAACCAGGACTCGATTAGCATGTATTTGGAGGAAAAGGCCATCCTGTGGAAGATTGCTTATAAAGAGAAGAATGAAAGAAAGAGTCCCATAAGGGGGCTGTAGAAAGCAGTAGACACAGAAGCATAAAATGAAGGAAGGATATATATGTGAAGTAGTACATTTAAATAAGATTGTACATTTTCATATGGCCCTCAGCAATCCGCTGTAGATAAACCATCCAAATGTTAACAAATCCTTCGAACAAGAAGAGTAACATTACCCTATTTTACTGATGAGGCTGTGCAAGAAGCAAATAAGGATTTGCATAAGATCACATGGGAAGTGCATAACAGAAAAACCCCAGATCTACTGAGTCCCAGTTCAGTGCCCTAAACACAAATCATCTCAGTGCCTGGATTCCCCGAACATAAAATTTGAATCAGTTGACATTCAAAATTTAAACACCTCAGAGGATAAGATAAATGAGAAAATCTGGTTTACTGACAGCAAGAGAAATCACATATCGTGATACTAAGCCTGTTTCTGTTCCCACTGTGCCCACTTCCCAAATGGAAGACCTTTGCTTGATTTCCGTGGGAATGGTGTAAGGTCTATCACCACCTTTACATTCTGTACTTTGATCTTTCCAAAAAATGCAGATCTGGGACACTACATTGAAATTAAATATAATACAAAAGATGCAGAGATAATTATCTTGATGATTTTGCATAGACAAATACATCATACTGATTTTTATTTTTTTACATCAAGTGGTTTAAAAAGGAAAATATCAGCAAAACTATGAATGTCTTGTGGCATTTATTAAAAATTTGGAATGAATTAATATTGCATTTCAACTGAATTCCCACTTACTTGCTCTATCACATTTGCATCCATCTCCAAAAATCCATCATGATTAATATTAGTGAAATGAATGTTAAGATGTAGCAACATTGATTTATCGCTTTTAGAAAGCATCACTAAATATTCTTGAAAATCAACAGGAAAAAATAACCTTTATTCAGTTATTTGTATATGGTGAATCTGTCTCAAGAAATATCTTAAAGTAAAAGCAATTGCTTTCAGTGATTGAATTGCTTTCAGGAGTTCAGAGAAATTATAGTAACTCAATACAAGAATTTCACCTCTCAGCACAGAGATGAATAATTGCTGAGTGATGAGAAAGATATAAAATATAAATAGAGTATGTGAAACAGTCATGGTAAGTATCATTTTTCTGGATGCTGAAGACAATATTGATGAATTCCCCTTCATTGCATGAAATTAATAACCCTATGCTGAATAATGAAATTAAATATTCCATTCTCCTGCCAGAAAAGCAGAAAATACTTGAAACAGACTGCATTTCCAGATGTGATCTAAATCTCCACTGAGAAAGAACCTCATTGCCTACTGAGGATCACAGAGAAAATTCTCCGCTGAAAATTCACCATTTCCTTAGATTTAGAAAAATTAAAGCAATAACACTTGTACTGAAGGAAACAGTCAAGGGAATAGAGAGTTGCAGAAGAGATTTACCCCAAATACATTTGTAATAATAGATGGAAAAATAGCCTTTGCTTTGACAGCTACAGAACACAATGCATCAAAAGAAGAACGTCACACAAAAGAACATTTTCCTCCTCTCATGATTTTTGCCATCTATTTGAAAACAATCAAGTACAGTTTGACATGCGATGTGTGGGAACTGTATTTAAACTAGCATGACATGGTAAGGGCAAGCACCTCCCATGAGACATTTCGCATTTCTATTTTTCTGTCTTTCTCTTGTGCCTTTTTCTTCCTTTTAAGCACAACATAGTATGGCAGGAAATTTAAAAAAAATTGGACCAGACAGTGTGCTTCAGAAAAAGGCCCTGTGGTGAAACTGAAGAGCTCAAAGAAGAGGGAATCTGGCAGAAACTGATTAAATGAAAAGCCCATTGCTAAAGGGAAAAGTATTCCAATGGCACAAATCCGTAGTCGTCTCCTATGCTATCATCTTCACTTGCAATCGTATCTTGTGGAAGGATGTCTTGAGTGGGGCACGGTCCCTCTCCCCCAGTTCACTCACATCTGAAATACCAGTCATATCTGACTCTTTTTGTACCACATGTAATGTCATTCATTTTCAGAGTGTGGACAAAACAACAACAGAGTGTGGATAAAACTGGACCAAAGCTATTGAAGACAGAACGACCAAAGAGTTCACCATTGGGAATGCACTAGGATATAATTCTGTTGTCCTAAAAATGCTGATGTTCCCACGCCTGTACAGGGTAGGAATTTCCCCTAAGAAAATGAAAAAGATCTTCACTCTGCTTTGACTCTCACACATGCTTGCCAAGAACAAGGCATTTTGATCCCTGGCAGATACTTGCATTAAAGGAAGGGTGAACTGGCGCCTTGCCAGTGGTGGGCTGGAATGCATCGGCAGTCTTTTAATTCATTAACATTAAAACAGGGAACAGAAAATATCCTCTTGCACACAAAAAAATAGAACAGGTCTGTCCCTCTTAACCCAATTATTTGCCATCTTACATATCAGGTCTCCCCTCCCCTACTTGGCTCAGTGAAATGGGATAAAGCTATCAAGAGGTTAACAGATTTCCAGATGCTCTCAAAATATTGTTATTCACAGCAAATTATTCACAGTTATTCAAAGTTATTCACAGCAAAATAGAAATGAAAGGTCTAGTATGCTTGGAGACCACAACGGTGAGAGATGATGTTCTTACAGTGGGTTAGTAGAGCTACAAGACCAGGAGTTAATTTTGGGAAAAGCAACAGAGATACTCTAAGGCAATGTAACCTTTAACTTTGGCTGAGAGTGTCTATGTTGTTTTCCCAAAACTATTCAAGAACAGAGGTATAACATAGGAGAGTGAGTAGGCAGGACACAACCTGACT